AAAAAAACGTAGTAGCACCATGATTCACTATTGCTGTGTTGGATCCAGATTGGATTTGATCTGTGCGGCTGTGGTTTGCAACTTAAATTGGTGTCCCACTTGATCTAATAACGGCTCTGATTGTCTCGATTGATGTGTTTTAAAACATCTCAGATTAAATCTTATCAATGGCTGTGATCTAAGGTTTTAATCAAAACCTACACCGATTCTTGCTGTAATATTTTTTATTCCTAACTTCCTAAACCCTTCTTCTCTTCAACCAAAATCAATTCTTGCTGTAATCTTCATGCTTGCCTGGGTTAAATGTGAAGTTTCCAATCCATACACGACCTAAGTGTGGACTACCCGTTGGGTGTGTGTATACTGCATAGTGTTTCAAATTATGAGAGAGAGAGAGCTACAAAATGCCTCGTCCAAGTATGGAGAAAACTATCCCAACAAAAGACAATGGTCTTCTTTACATGAATTTATATATTATTTCCATCCGCATAACCTTTTTTTTGTTCTTTCAAATCATATTTAACTGCCACAATATTATGCAACGTGATCAAAGTTTTTCACATCTAAAATATTTAACATCCACAAACATTCAAATATCATTAATAAGAATAGTTTGCAGTTCATAGAGTTCTCTTGATTACTATTTAAGCTTCATCCTGTGAATCTTTCAACACACAATGCTAAAACAGATAAATGAGTAGCACCACCATCTTGCAGTCGTAGATAGCTCCCTAGGAGTGTTGAATGGAAGGAGTGCATTCCACAGGAACCGAAGATTGCATAACACACAACAGGAACAAGTGTATAAATTATGCCTCCCAGGCTTCAGTTCTAGCAACATATGGTCACCAAAAATACCACTACGACGCTGCACCTGGATCATTGATGACACCCAAGAAATCATCCTTGATGGTACCAATGCAGAACTGCAAAGACAGTCCAAACTATTAGATGAAAAAAACAGAGAAATTTTCAGTTATTTATATAGTGTCACAATTAAATAACCTATTGAAGGAAAACACAGTTGCATTTAGAGCATTAAAGTCAATAATTATAGTCATGACCTGCGGATGCTTGGAGTATTATGGTCATGACCTGCAGATGCTTGGAGTACTATGGTCATGACCTGCAGATGCTTGGAGTAGTTGTGGTGCAATACCTTATACTAAAGGGCAGTAACACCATGGCCTTAATAAGTATACTGACAGGTAAGTTAGATGTTAACATAGAGATGTAGAAACCTATTAATGCAAACTGCAGCAAAGCAAAATAGACTGCCTGGAAGGTGACTTCAATATGAGAGAAGGGTATCTTAGAAAGGCTAAAACCAATGCCATTTCATTCTTCCCCTCTCCCACTGATAAAAACTGATTTAACTTTTAATAATGTACGAAGTTCGGTAAGCAGATCTGTCGACAGAGAGTGTATCTCACAACAACCGGCCAGTAAACATCTGACATTTTAGCTACAGCCACTTTGGCAAATCAAGACCATAGGTATTGGTGGTTTATGCCACACCCACTTCTTGGTACATGTAGCAAACACAGACCCGAAACAACCTTTTTCAAAAAATCGTGCAAGCTACTTATGTAGAGCTGAAAAGAGTTTAGAGATGAATGGATAAAGTCATAAAGACCATACAAAGATTCAAGTCACGGATCTAACCAAGAAACGTCACGATATTCTGCATAATTTATCCTATTATTATTTAAGAAGTAAACTAATTATACATACCAAATATCTATCTCTTGATTGAGGTACATAAAATCAAGATATAAATCCTCATATTACACTGCATATTAACTAAACACTTTTACTAATATCCTCTCCATCTTAATGACATTCTTTCACCCGTATTTGCACCAACTTATGCCTAAATTTTTATGGAATCAAAACATGAACAGATTGGGAAACGTTACTGTGTGTATAGAAGTGTCGGTATATGGGGCTCCCACTTGTATAGTCAAGACTCAAGAGGCTTCACCATGCAAAACATAAAGATTAAGGAAATTGTGACTTATCAATTTCCCCATTTCGTATGCCTTTTACAAATTATATTTCCAAGGTGGAAACCATTAAATTCTTCATTCTCTCTTTTAGAAAGATATAAGAATAGAACCAGTTGACATATGTGTACTCATTTCTAACAAATTAAAACTTGATTGTTACCAACAAAGAAAGAGACAAAGAGCACTGAAAGGCATACTATTTCTGTAGCATCGACTCGAGTTCCAATTATCTTCAAGCGCACCTCACTGTCCTTTATAATCTTAACCTGCAAGCAGTGATCAATTCCATTGTCAAAACTCCCTGAAGTGAATTTCAGATACCACTTTTGCTGTGAAAGAACGTGTAAATATAAGACTTACCGATCCATCTGAAGTTGTATAGTTCGGAACATCACCCGACTGGAACTCCATGTCGTCTGGTATGAGCTGAAAAACAGAAGAAACCGGAAGATACAATTACAAATGTAGAAGCATTACTTTCAGTTTGAAGACTCAGTTCTTATCAAACCAAACCCCCTCATAACCACTCCCCCCGCTTTGGCAAAATTCTGAATCTACTCGATAACCTGATATATCTTTTGTAATTCTGACACATTATATCGCATCTAACGTTGTTTTTTATCCATCAATTTGTAAAGTCTAGTCCTTTCAGAAACCTTAGGAAGATCTCAGAAGAACTATACTTGTGGGACAATGTGATGGAATTATTAGAAATATGCTAGCTCCCCCCTTTCCACCCACTCCCTTCCTCTGCTTCATTAAAGTTAACCCCAATGGAGCATGCCCCTGCAGGATACTCCAACAACAAGGGCTTGAGAATATCCAGAGACTCAGCTGGTTTGTGTTTATATTCAAACTCAAAGATCCTGCAGTGAATTGTGGCTTGTTGATGATTCACCCAGAAAACATCTCTGAGAAGATCAAATCTTGTGCATATGAACCAAAAATTTATACAACACAACCTATATGTCCGTGTTTGGCTAAAAATTGACTTTAATTTCTGCAAGCAACATGAAAGAATTTATTTATCAAAAAACACTCACATGATTTGATACAAATATCTGAACAGGCCCAGCTTCAGCAAAAAATCCCATCTGTAAGTACCCAAAGGAAAAATGTTTAACAGAAAGCCCAAACACTACGATTTCCTCAAAACAACAAAACACTAGAAAATATTAATACCTTATTAACCATAGTAACCACAGCTTCTAAAATCTCCCCTTTAAAAGGTCGAAACACAACACATTGGTACTTCACTGGAAATGTAACAAACCCTGTTCCATCACGAATTCGGCCTTTGCCAATGCTATCAACCCCTGTTATAGCCACCACAAACCCATGTCTCCCACTTCAACAAACAACACAATAATATCAAGTTTCCTCCTTTTGTTAAAAACCAATCAATATAATTAACAAATTAGGGTTTGGGATTTTACCTGCAAGTTCCTTCAACATCTTTCATTAGCTTTGCAACAAGCTTATCACGTAAATGAGGACCAAAATGGCGAGGATGTAATTGCATATTTCGTTCTAAAACAATGTGGAAAAACATCTTCTTTCACTAACCAAACTGATTTGCTGTCTTGTTTTCCAATAGTTGTTAATTGAGTAGTACAAACGCTCAATTTCAGTAACAAAACTGTTAAGATAGTGAAAATAACTTCAGTAGGTGATCAATTCTAACATAGATTACCTTATTAAACAAAACCAAATCTATTTTTTTCCAAATAAAAATTGCACCTTTCAACAATTTTGGCTTTGTTTTATAAATTTACCTCTTAGGGATTCTCAAATTTTCCCCAATACTCTTGAAAAACTAACAGTTTGAACAGATTTAGGTTATAGTTTTCGTTGAGAATTGAGAAAGAGGGAGAGAGAGCTGTTAATCTGAACAAGAAAGTTATCGCTCAATCCCCCAATCCGAATATATAGGGAAGAATTGGAGACCGACAAGCCCATAAGAAAATGAGCAGGGTCCAAGTTAAGTTTCTAGCCCGGTCTGTATCCTGATTCCGGACTAGCACTAAGCCCAGGTTCCAGATTTTAAGGCCATAAGGAGAAGGCCCATTATCCATATTAAAGGTTTCGGGTTGATCAAAGCCCTAATGAATGTCCGAATTATTATATGTTCTGACTGTCAAGTTGTAGTAGATGCTATTATATATGCTGGAATCTGGTTGGTTTGATTCAGGAAATTATGTTAATATCAGAGTCTATGTCCTTTTGTAAGTTTGTCTATGTAAATAGGGAAGCTGGTATATGCAGCCCATCATCTATGTAAACCAAGTAAAGGTGGAACTTACTTAGAGTCTTGTAAATGTGGTTATGGAACAACAGATGTTCCTTGTTAATATCTGCTGATTATAAAGCTAAGGCAGATCTTTTATATAAACTTTTTGATATTATAGACTGATTTTTTTGTTCTTCCAATTGCTTAGGGTACACCAAACATAACATAAACTCAAATTTGATGAAAAACCCAAAAAACCATCTCTAATGGTTCATCAAGTTTGAGTTTGCACCAAAATTTTATCAAACCAACCATCAAATTTGGTGAAATTTTGGTGATTTGGTGAAAATTTGATTAGAATAGGGTGGGTAATACAGGACCGCACAACTGAGGCGGCACATCGATCAAAACCCGCTCTAAGTTAATAAAGATTTGGGTGGTTTTATTATACCAGCCCCAATTAATCGTTGAGTAGAGTGGTTCTTCAAATATGTGGGACGGTACTGTTATACTCGCCTCAAGTTAATAAAGACTTGGGCGGCGGTTCTGTTAGAGCATTCCCAATGGTAGGTGGGGGTGGGCACCTGCCACATCAGCAAATCCCACCCTCAAAACTCATAAATCCACTCGGTGGCGTAGATAAAAAGTGGGGGTTTCCCAGTGCAAAGGTGGGATAGAGAGTGGCACGGCAGTTGGAGTGCCGGATGGAATTATTTGCCCACACGGCTGCCGTGCGTCTAAATGGGTTTTATGCTATTTTGTGTTTTTATGTCCATTCGGCATAAGAAGTGCCGTGCGTTTTAAATATTTTATATGGAAATAAAATGGCACGGCAGCCGTGCGTTGTGGCCAGGCAGTAGGAATGTCGTGAGATGTAATCACAAGGTGGCCACCAAGGTGAGCTTCCCCACCCCCATGCCCACCTTGGTGGCCTTCAAGTGGCACTCCCCACCTTTCCATTGGGAAACTGTTTTTTTCTCTTGGAGCTGGATTTCATGCTTTTTTTTTTCCCACCCCACCGACCATTGGGAATGCTCTTATGCCTCCCCAAAACATGCAAGTGGTCTTCACAGGTCCGCCTTGATGAAGCGGGTGTATAAAGTCCGCCCAGTTTCCAACGATTCTTTAATAACTGCCTTAATTTGGTAAACCATTAGAATTGTATTTTTTTGCCACCAAATGCGATACCAACTGAGGTACCAAACTGCATAGGTGGACCACCAAATTTGGTGAACCATTAGATATTTCTAATGCCCTTATTGCTTTTGAAGGGGTGATGAAACTTTGTGGAATTAAAATCTGAAAGCCAAGATGCACACATTTAGAAAATGACTAAAAAAAGTAAGCTCCAAGCTTGTAGCTTATGAGCTAAACTATCAGATAAAAAACAAATGGGGTATTTAGACTTTAGACATGCAAAAATAGGGCTAATTAGGGTTTGGACATAAAAGTGGCTTTTATTAGGCTTTGGACACCCAAATCGGTCGAGTCACGATTTGAGTTAAATTAGAACCGAGCTAACCCAGATATGATAATTGACTGCCTAAACTACCCCTATTCAAGTCACGTGAATAAAACGATGACATGTATAACTTGTTGTAAGTTGTAACCTGCAAGTCTGCACAACACTATTCCCATTTTTTTTCCAACTCATAAATCTTCCTTCCCTATCTAACATACATCAATCAACCAACAATCGAAACACTCAATTTCATTATTCAACAACAACAATTTCAAATTTTTATCCCTCTAAATTCAAAATTTGAAAAATACAAAGAAATTAAAGTAAAAATAAATCAAATAACAATTAGTTGTTAAAGCTGAACATCGAGGACTTCGATAAAGAAGCTTTCTTCTTCGTCTTCTCTGGTTTTCCAATAGAAGAGTGTGTCGGTGTCGGTGTCGGTGAGTGAAGTTTATCTCTCTTTCTAAAGATTTCACCTTTTTAGCTTTTGCTTTCTCTCAATTAAGGAAAATTAGAAAGCTAGTCTGGAAGCTTGGTAACCATGGTGTGAGCTATGAAGATTTAGGAATTTGGGTTTTCTTAGGAATTTGGGTTTTTTTTTTTTGTTTGGGGATGAATTAGATTGATAAAGTGGTAGTTTGAGGAGATTGTGTGGACGATTTTATCAAATAAGTAAAAAACCAAAAATGAAACATTAGAAATCCAGATTTAATTCAAAGAATCAACCTTTGCGATCAGGCTTGTGGCATCAAACAGATTGAAGAGAGAGA